CTGCCTAGCAAGCATGAAGCCCTGAGTTCAAACTCCAGTACCACCAAAAAAATAATAATAATAAGGTCGTGCAGAATGCCTGAGGAGTGGCCATATAGTCCTTGAGGATCCCCACTTAGCTTGTGCCTTTTGTGTACTCATTAAATCCTTTTTTTAGTGAGGACAGTGGCTCTGGTGACTAATACTTACCGGATATGGGGCCAGTGCCAAGTTCTTAACTTAAAGATGCACCTTGGTCTCCTGGAACCATTTCAATGCTTGTAAATAGCTTCTCTGTTAATGCCCATTTTATGACAAGGAAATTAAAGCTCCTAGAATTTGTCACTTGCCATATTGCCCACAGCCAATGTGTAACAGAGTCAGGCTATTAACTCTAAGCTAACATCATGCCAGGCTGATCTGGAAAGACAGGATGCTGTTTCCTGTGGAAACACTGGCTAGCAGACCCAAGCTAGCCAATTGATAAATACAAGGTCATCAACTCAGTACTCAACACTCCATGCTCCAGCAAACACTGTGGGCCCCCAGTCTTCATTCTGATCCAACTCCCACTCAGTCTTTGCCTGCCTCACCCTCTAAGGACTTCCCCGAAAGGTCACCTCTTCTAAGATGTCTTTTTTGGTACCACACCCATGAGCCAGGCTAAGTGCCCCTTTCTTCTTCCTCCAATAGCGTCCCTTGTAGCACCTATCATTCCACACTGCATCTGGCTCTTCTCTCTCAATAGATTGTGCACTCCTCATGAGCAGGGACCAGGACAGCTTCTGTGTGCCTAGCGTGGAACCTGGCATGGAGTGGATGCTTTGCAAATATCTGCTGACCCAAATTTATTCAGTGGATGTCTAAACTGGAATGACTATAACTGTTTACATTTGCAAGATACTTTAAGATCTAAAAAGAGCTTTCATATTGATCATTTCACTTACTCCTCAAAGATTGGTATTGTCTCCATAGTTGAGGAAACAAAGTTAAGTGACTTTTCCAAGTTCACCCAGTCCAGAAAGTAGCTGGGCTGGGATTTGACCTCAGGCCTCTGTAACTCCAAAGCTCTCTCCAACATTTCCCATGTCATCTGACACAAGTGACAGGTACATTTTACCACCAGGGACATTGTGGCCAGGAGAGGTAAATTGCTGGCCTAGGGTCATGCAGTTTGTACCCCATTATGTGCTCTTTCCTCAAACAGGAAATGTCCAGGAAGGTGACAAGGTGAGAATATGGTCCTGAGCTAGGCAGGAGTATGCAGCCCATGTCTCTTCCCATTTGCCCCCTCCTCATTCGTCACAATGTGAATGTTTAGATTTTGTATTTAGTATTTACTCTGAAATGGCTTTCATCTGATTTCCCCCTTGCTCACCAATTTAGTTGTCAGAGTAAATAAATGTGAAGCTGGGTCTCCAGTCTCTCTCAGCTCACATTACCTTCCTAGAATTACTCCCCGGCGGGGTAGAACCACTGCTGGGGGCCTCCCACAGAATTATCCAGTTACTAATGAATCCTCTTTTCAAACCCAAACCTTAGATGGGGGAGGATGGCAAAATCCACCTCAGAGGACCAGATGACCATATCCTCTCTTAGTGGCCAAGGACAAAACTGAGGTGGGAATTAGTTAATTTTATACATATCAGGTGCTAAATACAGCTTCGGGAATGAGATCAGCACTTGTAAAAATAATAGTTTTTAATGTATGGTTAGTTGTCATTCCAATCCTGAGGGTAAGTATTGTTCCCATTTTGCAAATGAGGAAAGTGAGGCTCTGAGAAGGAAAATGACCTGCCCACAGTCTCCTGCAGGAAGAAATTAAGTATCCTGATAGAACATAGCAAATGTGTCATTTTATGCTGCTGGAGTCTGGGGTGACTGGAAGAGATATTTCTTATGTGAAGTGATTTCACTTCTTGTCCTCTTTGAAGGCAGGCAAGGCCTGGGCTGGAGTAATGGGTCTTCAGCTTCCTAGGTAAAATTACCCAGCAGAATTTATGCTTATTATTTTGGTTGATTCATGCCTTGCCTTAACTCCATAAAGAATTTGAAGCAGCACCCTGCAGAATAACAACTAGAAAATTTGGCCCGTCCATGTTATGATGATGGCATGGCTAATATTTGTTGGTTGCTTGCTGTTTGCCAAGCACAATTCTGAGCCCTGGTACATGGATTATTTGCATAATTTTCACTGTTAGGGTTAGGCAGAGAAGGTGGACACCATTATCATCCTCATTCTACAGGTGAGGAAAATGAAGCTGACCAAGTGACTGAATGACTTTATTTGTCCAAGAGTTCCCAAGTAGTAAGAGGCAGTGCCAAGACTGGTACCCGGCAGTCGGGCCCCCAGACTTTGTGTTTCACTACTGAGTTTAGTGCCTCGTATCCCAGTTTTGATTTTCTGAGCACTTAGTGAGAATTCAGAAGCAGAATTGCACAGGAGATAAGAGTTGTCTTTGGGGTCCAAGAGCCAGAGCTTGAAATGGGGGCTTTTGTAAGCTTGTTTTCTCAACTATAAAATAAGTTAAAAATAACTTCTTTATAAGGTTGCTGTGAGGTTTAAAGAGAATAATGCACGTAAAACAGTAGTTGGCACATAAATGTTTAATAAATGGCTTTATTATTACTATTATTGTAATCATTCAGGGAGCACATTCTTCTCATTCCTCCTTATAGCTTATCTGTCAAGCCTCTGAAGCTTTGTAGTCATCTCTCTACCTGGATTACTTTCTTCTGTCCTCTGAACCTAAGTTTTACCTGCCCTTTACTTTCCACTCAAGTCTCCTCTACCCCTCTTGCCTAAGGAGTTTTGCAAAGCCAGTACAATCTTCATGCCTGTTTCCTGTAGTCCTGCACCCACTTGTGTGAGGCATAATGCAATGTGTGTTACCCCTGGATTCCCCAGCCACTCAGAAAGAAGGAGGAAGAGATCAGGGAGGTCCTGTTGTTATTACCATATTGCACATGAGCCAGGAGCCATATCCAGGTTTTTAACAGTATATGCAAAGTGTGCGTACACTTTGCGTGCATGTGCAGAGGGTGGACATGGTCATGAATGTAGTTTAGAAATCAAGGGTATGAGCTCTGAAACAAGATGAGTCTGGTTTTGGATTATTAGCCACAGGCACCATTTTTGACCTCTCACATAATCTCTCTGAATCTCAGTTTCTTCATTAGTAAAATAGGCACCATAAGAGATGCTGCCTAGCAGGGTTATTATGGGAAAAAATAAGATTATGATGGTGAAATGCTTAGCATTTTAATACCTGGCACAGATTAAAGTACTCTGAGAAGTTGGAATTATTAATATCTCAAAGACATATTTGAGGTGGAGGGAGTTGTTCACCACTTACCATGTTTGAGAGTGACTGTGTATGTGTGCACATGTGTGTATGCACACACCTCACTGGCTTCCACATTGCAACCTGTTCTCTTAGACTATGGGTTCGAAGAGAAACTCTTTGCTCTCTGAATTTCTGTATCTGAGAGTAATAAATAATTGGGATGCAGAGGCTAGAAAATGCCATTAGTTGGGGCGGTTTCTGTATAAAGGAACAAACAGCTGGTATATACCTAAAGGATGGAGGAGTGAATCTTTAAATTGTGTTGGTGTGCAGACATCCTCATCTGCCTGTATCCATTAGGATGTGCTTCTGTGTGTGTAGACTGACACTGTGACTATTGGGAAACCTGTATCTGCAGAGTTATGTGTACCATTTCTGCCTATATGTGATTACTTCACCATCTGTAAGGATATATGTGTATATTTGTGAACTAGTGAGTAGAGGACATAAAGTTATCCAGGGTTTGGAGCTCTGTGGGAGCTGTGCTTTCCTGAGTATGGATGTATGCACAAGTGTAAGCGCAATTGTGTAGAGTTGTTTACATTTGTAAATGAGGGCAATTATTGAGGTGAAGGTATGTGTGATAGGTTGTGGGTGGCTGTGCTGACTATAGGGCTAAATCTGACTCTGAGTTTTTAGAAGAGTATACGTATTTACATGTGTCTCTTTAGATGGTTAGTGTGTAGAGAAGGGGACTGAGATTGTAAGTGCCCACTTGTGTCTGTATGCTATAGGGTGTTAATGTGTACAAGGTTGACTTTAAGCTTGAGGATTCTGTGTCTGTGTACTTGGAGGCTGTATCTGTCTAAATACTGACTCTCCTCTCTCTCTCCTCTCTCTCTTTCTCTCTCTCACTCTCTCTCTCCCCTCCCTCCCTCCCTACAGAAGGTGGATGGTGTAGCTAAGCAAATTTTGAAGTGAAGGTAGATGTCCCAAGCAATCCCTCCTAAGAGAACTCAAGGGAACTCCACTCCCCTCCCCCCCCACACACACCATCCCATTCAGTCCTTAGGAGCTGGTTGTTATGGAGCAGAGGTATCTGTGTAGACATGTGAAGGTATGTGCGGACGCCTTGTGCCCCAGTTAAATGATATGAGCAAGTAATGATTTCCATCAGTATGTACACAAATGAACAGGCACAGCATTGCATCAAGAGTATAATGAATGACTTCATTTGGAGTCTGTCTCTGCAGATAGGATGACCAGGGGTCCCTCTTGTACCTGCGAATTGGGGCTGTGTCTGAGGGCGGTGGGTGCTCTTGAGGGAGGGGCCGTAGAGAGAGCTGTGTGGATGTGTACCCACCAGTGCCTTTGTATGTCAGCTTGTGTCTGAGTCTATCAGCAGCTCTGAGTTTCTGTGTGTCTCTCTGTCTGTGTGTATGTCTCTGGGTCTCTGCCTGGTTGTGTGTGTCTCGCTTTTCCTTAGCGGGGAGGAGATTGGTCACGCATGACTCATTTTGAACCGAGCGGGGCTCCAGCGGCAGGGCGGCCGCCGCCACAGCTGGAGGGGGAGGAGGGAGAGGAGGAGGAGGAGGAGGACTACCACGAGGGGGAGGAGGAAGAGGAGAAGGAGGGGGCGGGGGCCTCTCCAAGTTTGTCGGGACCTTCTTCCGAGGCGGCGGCGCCGGCAGCCAGGGAGGCCGGGACTGAGCGCGGGCCGGGGGTTGGGGCCGGGCCAGGGGCCGCGGGGCCGGAGCCTCCTCTCTCCTCCTGCTCTGGCTGCAGCCTCTGCTCCCACTGCGGCCGGGGCCCCCTTGTGCGCGGCTGTCGGCGCTGCGCGCCCACTGAGTCCGCCGCTCCCGGGCCCATGTACTGGAAGCATGAGAACGCCGCCCCGGCGCTGCCCGAGGGCTGTCGGCTGCCTGCCGAGGGCGGCCCCGCCACCGACCAGGTGAGCAACCGAGAGAGCTTGTGAGAGGGCGAGCGGTCGGGACTAGGGCCGGGCCGGTAGGGGCCGGGACCCAGCTCGGGCCGGGCCGGGAGGCTGGCTGCGGCAGGAGGGAGGGGTGCGGGGGTGCGCCTGGGAGAGTGTATATGTGAGTGTATATGTGAGTGTGTGAGCGCGCGAGCGCAAGAAGGGGGGGTCGCGGAAAGCGGGAAGACATTATGCAAATGTTGGAGGAATTTCTCAAAAAGCGATTTAGCAAAGACACAGGCGAATCAAGAGGAGGCGAGGCCGGTATTGTCCGTCTGAATAGGCGCTGATAGCGTCGATGCGCCGGGGGTTGTGCGGGAGCAACGCTGAGAATTCCGCCGCGGGGCCGGTCCCGGGCGCGCCGAGGTACTGGAGGGTGCTTTTTTCTCCTCTTGGACGCCTCTCTTTTCTCTTTTTTGGTGCCGTTTCTCCCCCGATCTCGCCCCCTTTGGCCCCGGGTTTCCCTTGGACCGGCCCTCGAAAGGCGCCTGAATCCGTGTCAATTTCGCGGCGCGCGTCGGACTGGCGGGCCGATGCTCCTGGCGCTCCGGGTGATTTTTTTTTTTTTCTTAACCGCCAACACCCCCATCTCCTTTTTATTTTCTTTCTTTCTCTCTTTTCTCCTTTTTGCATTTTGTGCCGAGAGGAGAAGGGAGCGAGGAAAGGGGGGGTGGGTGGAGAGAAAAAATTCGATTTTTAATTACTACCATTAAAAAATCAAATTTGCAATTCTTTGGGCGGCCTGATGGATCTCACTGATTGACAGTTGGAATTGACACTCTGGCTACCTCTTATCTTGGGCATTCACGACAATTTCTAATTGCAGGTAGTTTGTGTGTATGCGCGTGTTTTTTTTCCCCCCTCAGAGGCTTGGATTGCAAGGGAACTAAGCGATTACTTCAAGAGCCACGGGTTAAGTGCAGGGAGAGGGGGAGAGAGAGGGAAAAAATCCAATCCAAATTCAAATTGCTTCATTAGAGAGACACCGCTTTTGTGGGGAAGGGCTTTAAATGCCCACTACAAAGTTAGGACTCATTGTTCGGCGCCGGTTTATATAACAGGCGCAGGGAGGCGCTGGGCTCAGGCAGCGCTGAGCCAGTTCTGCAGCCGCCGCTGCCTGCATTCCCTCCCCCTCCCCCAGGTGATGGCCCAGCCAGGGTCCGGCTGCAAAGCGACCACCCGCTGTCTTGAAGGGACCGCGCCTCCTGCCATGGTGAGTCCGATCGGCTCTGCCTTCGGCCCTCCGTCCCCCAGAAGCTCAGCCCTGGGCACCTGGCCCAGCTTTCAGGCCATGAACCGTTGCCCATGAGCTGGGGGACTCCCGGCGGGTGCCGCCCCTCTCTGAGCCTCGGTTTTCCGGTCAAGAATGTGGGCTTTGCCCGCTTCCGGCACCTAGGATGCGTGTGTTAAAAGTTGCAGCCGTCCCTTCGTCTCAACTAGGTCCTTGCATTCTTGTCCTCCAGCCTAGGGCGCGGCGTACCAGGCAGATTTCGTTGTCAGTTGATGCGCAAGGGAGTCAGATTTGTATCCGAGGCAGGGGCAACTCTGAGTGCTCAGCTCAGCGCTCTGCTCTTCCTCTTCTTCACTGCAGGCTCAGTCGGACGCAGAGGCCCTGGCAGGCGCTCTGGACAAGGACGAGGGTCGGGCCTCCCCATGTACGCCCAGCACACCATCTGTTTGTTCGCCGCCCTCTGCTGCCTCCTCCGTGCCGTCTGCCGGCAAGAACATCTGCTCCAGCTGCGGCCTCGAGATCCTGGACCGGTATTTGCTCAAGGTCAGTCAGGATAGATTGTTGTCTGTGTATTGGCGGGCGTGGGTTGTAGCCCATAGAACTGTAGGAAAAAAACGCTGGTGGCAGGTCCGCTTAATTCCGCATCCTGGCTCAGCCCGCTGCCCGACTGCGCAGCTTTGGGCGATTCTTAGGGCCTCTCTAAGCTCCAGGTTCCGACTGGAAAGTACTAAGAGTGTATATTTCCCGCAGTCTCAGTATTACAGAAGAAAATAGGGGAGTCACAAGTACCTTCTGAGTTTCAGCTACTCTGCCAGCAAATGAGGCGAGGGATACTGGGGCCGGACGTGAAAAAAGCCCGGGCTGAGCAGACCTTCTTCCCCGCCCCCTCCCCAGGTCAACAACCTCATCTGGCACGTGCGGTGCCTGGAGTGCTCCGTGTGTCGCACGTCGCTGAGGCAGCAGAACAGCTGCTACATCAAGAACAAGGAAATCTTCTGCAAGATGGACTACTTCAGGTAGGCTGCGGCCGCCGGGCCAGCAGTGCTGCGGCAGGCAGACCTCGGGCGCGCATACCCTAAGCCACTTTTGCTGCGGCGTCTGGTCTCCAATTCCGGAGCCCTGGCGTACGCAGGACCCAGCCCACCGGCTTTCTGCGTCCAAACCCAAAGCTCCAGGCCGCGTGACAGTGCCTGTACAGGTTCCAGCCAGAGCTCTGCCTCGGGTTCCCGCGGTCTGCTGGCTCTGTCTTGGGTCTTGCCTTAGCATCAGGCTCCAGTTCCGACCTGAAGCGCCGCGGTCGAGCTCCGACGTCGTGGCACTGGTCCCGACCGTTTCGGATCCCAGCTGCCAACTGGCTGTTATCTCCAGTGAGCCCTGCTCTGGCTTCAACAGTACTTTGACTGTAGTCGTGCTGAGGCCCTGTCCCGGAGATGGGCCCTGGACTCTTGATTTGGCTCTGACCGGATCTCTGCTCTGGGTTCAGATCTGCTCCGGTCCCAAGTACCAGCGCCGCATCCGATTCAGATCTTAACTCCAATCCAAGCTTCTCGTCCTAAACCCAACCTCGGTCTCTTGTCTCCGCCTCAACTCATGCCCTGGTAGCATTTCGAGTCTGGGGTCTTGCTTGGATCCCAGGCCACTGATTTAGTTCGGCTCCACCACCGTTTCCGGCCCCGGCTTCGTTCTTTCCTGGGTCTAGGTTCTGGCTTTGGGCAGTCTGGACAGAAAGGTAGAGAGGCAGGCGCAGAAGTTCGAAGCGCCGAGTAGGGTTGTTCCCCCGCCGCGCTGTTTGCATCGCACTACAGGCGCGCGTCCGGGCAGCTTATGATCCATCCTGCCGCCACGCCGCCGGGCGTCTCTTGCATGCGCCTCAGTACAAACCCCGCAGCCTGGGCCTGATCTGGTCTGGTCACGGGGTCTGGGTCACTGCAATGCCAGGGGCACCAGGGCGGTCTGCCAGATTCTAGTGGGAAGCATGAGCCAGGCCCAGCCTGGTGGCCTGGCCTACAGAGTCCCACGCGAAATAGCATGGTATTGGTTTCTGGGAGGGACGTTTGTTCCCAAATGCTTTCTCAGGAAGTGGAGAAAGCTGCTTTTCCCCGTCTTACACCCCCCACCCCCACCCCCAATCCACATACATCCTTCCTCTCCTTGCCTCCGGGGAGGTCATGGCTTCAGTCGTTTGGAGAAGACCCCCGTCCCAGAAAGAGCCTCTGAGCCTATGGGAATGTTAGTAGCAACGGGAACACTCCTACCCGACCCCCCCCACCAGGGCCCAAGGAGAAGACCTCCAGTCTAGGAGGAAGTTGGCAGCATTTGGAGCTGGGATTCTCTGAGGAAACCATGAGGAGTGTGGTTGAAGAGGTTTATAGTTCCTTTATGTGATGGAGGTGAAAAGTGCAGCTGGTGTTAGGGATGGGGGGAGCACTGTACCTGCTGGCCTAGGATTCAGGGTGCAAGGAGCCAGTGCATCTGTATTATCTGCGATCTGTGCAGTGGTGCTGGGGAATATGCCCCTCAGCAGGTCAGGAGTGTGCAAATAGCAGGCATGTTTCATTATAGACAGTGTCTTTTAGCTCATGTGTGAGTATTGACAGTATGGGTCTATATGTGAATGTTGAGACCTTTATGTGTGTTTGTGAGTTTGTGCAGGGTGGTCAGAACGGGATCACATCTGGACCAGGATCTGGAGAGAGGGTGGGGAGAGAGGATTCTGTAATTGGTTACACCTCACCTCCATCTTCTCTGAGGGGACATTCCTGCTTAAGACTCTCTCCCCAGGTACCAAGGGATGAAGGGTATGATGTGAATGTGTACTCCTGGTTGTGGATTACTGCATATGTCTGTAGGCTGAAGGGTGTTATGGTCGTGTGGTGTGTAACCAGAGTGTGCTGTCTTCCCCAACTGTCCCATCTGTTCATTTGGCACAGGCAAGAAACGGTGGTTAGAGTCACTGTGTAGCCACCTCCTTTTTCTGGGCCTGACTCCAATTAGGGGGCCCTTTGGATTCATCAGGTGACGGGGAACTTGGGAACCCCAGCAGGATGGTGTCTGGGTCCTCCCCTGTAGAATAAAGCTGGACAGGACTTCTCTCCCAGCTCTCCTGGTGACAACAGACCTGGCAACCTTACCACTTGCCCAAATTTCTTCCCTTCTCCAGCCCCAGCTTATGGCCATGCTGGACTGAGCATGCTTGGATGCTGTGGTTAGCAGACCTTGAAGGACTAGTCAAAACTAGGATCCTGATTCCATCATTCACAGCCTACACTGATTCCCCATTCCATCACAGTGCAGTAGAAGGTAGTATATGCAGCCATCTTAGGGAAAAGTGGAAGACCAGTTTTGTCAGGACAGTTGTGACGTTGGGTAAGTTGCATCATTCTGTTCTGAGTTCTCCCTTTCCAAGATTGTCTCCTGAGCTGACAAGGAGGCCATTGAAGGAGAGAAGTTTCCATAAAGGCTTTTTAAAAGCCAATGGCTATGAATACCATCACTGTGACCCTAACAAGGTGGATACCGGGCACAAGCTTAGGATGGCATTTCCGCAGGCAGTTTGAGGAGCAGGACCTGCCTGAGCAGATGGAGCTAGGCTGCAGGTTCTGAGCACTAATCCTTTTCCAGTGACAAGAGACCCCAAAGCAAAACTAAATCACATTTTGGGTTAAGAAAATGGAGGGAATAAAAGCTCACTTTCCCAGAATGAGGGTAAAATTGTGGCTTTTCTGATCATTTCTCCCCCTGCCAGGTCTCCCCGCAGGCATAATCCATCTTTGATAGCCCCACCAGTAACAAAAATAATAAAACCCACAAAAAAAGGAAAAGAAAAAGCTGATGGAGCAACAGGCAAGGACTGTTGTCTGCAGTGAGTGGCAGCACTGGCTGCTGTGAGGAAGCTCTTTATGGTGAGCCTGGAAGAATGGTGGCGTGTGGGAGGCAGTGTCTATAGAGCTGGGGTTCAGGGGAGGATCATGTGGAATGTGGTGTAGAGCACTCTGCCCAAAGAGAGGCCAAGATCTTCCAACAGAGGAGAGTGAAGGAAGAAAGTGGCCAAAGCCCCACAGAGAAGGCACTTTGGGCTTCCCGGGTGCTCAACTTCTTCCTTATTCTACAGGGAAGGGGCTTTCCTCAGTTCTGTCTCCTGTCTTATAGGTTCTCCTTCAGTCTCCATTGGCAGAGCTGGTGTTGGCAGAGCTCTGAAGTTAGAAGTTAGGAAGGAACTCCAAGTTCTCTAGGGAGGGAGGTTTCAGAGCTTGGAACAGTTGGGGATGTCTAGCGATGCTCCTGGCTCATTTGTATTGTTGAGAGGGGTTTGTTTTTCTATCAGCTGTGTATTCTTGGCCAGGTCTCTGGATTTCTCTGCCTCAGTTTCTCCAGTTCACTGTCCAAACAGTGGTTTCAACCTGACTTTCATCTCACCTCACTGTTGGAGAGTCTTAGCAGGAAAAAAAATTACCAAAAGGGAAATAGGATAGGGTTTTTAATTTCTTCACTCTTTTGTTAAGACCATTTTTTTTTCTTTCTGACATTTCTAAGAAGTGAAGAAAGTTCTGGAGGAAAAATAGTGTTCCTTTTTGAAGCATTCACATTTCCATTGCCACCAGCCATCACAACCCAGGGCAGCTTCCCATAGCTCCCTTCTGCCTACTTACCTGCAGCTCCTGCACCACAAATAGGACATGGTCTGCTGGCAGTGCCCTTTGGGCTCCCTCAGCCTCCTGAAGCATCATGCCCATTGTGATGTTAGGGAGACCCAGGTCCTGGGAAAGTGGAAAGTGACATGACCAGAGTCACACAGTGATAGAGAACGTGGAAGATGAGAAGAGTAGGAGGGAGGCCAGCCATCATCAGAATACAGAGTTCTTCCTTCACCAGAAACTGTGCTAACCCGTTAGCTATTGGATCCTGTATGTCAGGTCCACCCGGTAAGTATCAAAGTGAGGCCCTGAGAAGTGAGGTCACACAGCTAATAAGTGATAGAGCTCAGATAAGCCCCTTAGCCACTAATTCCACCATTCCTATCCCTAAATACCCCCATACTCTTCTTCTGTAAGTAAGATATGCCAGCCACCTCTTTGTGCATTTTGAGTCACATGAATGGCAAAGGCCCCTCCCTGCTGGTCCCAAGGTTCTCAGCCCAGTTTGACTGGCTTTGCATAAAGACCATCCACTGTGATGTGTGATTCTCTGTGGGTGGCCCTGGGAGCATTAGGGCTGGAGTGACCTCCTCAGAGGTCCATGGCTGGTAAGTAACTTTGCCAAGACCATCTCACCCTAGTCCATGGCCCTCTTCCCTTCTGACACTGAGAGCAAGGAATAAAGAGTTAACTGCCTCCTTCCTGTGTGTTTATGGGGTGGGGGCTCTTAGAGTGTCACTTGGGCTGAAGTTCATGTTCTTTGCTTGGCTCACACCACTTAGGGCAAGTACTCAGCCTTCTCTGAGAACTTCTCTGTCCCCTGACTTCAGCCTTCTCCTCCAGAGTGAGGGTCCCAAGGGAGACTCTGAGCCTGGAAGTGGGCCCCCCACGGAGGTGCAGCGGGGCCCAGCTGTTGGGGGACAGATGTTGGGGAAAAAACTAGAGGGGAGCTGGGAAAGGAGGAGCCTTAGGCCAGGACCTCCTATGCACCAGTGTTTTAACCACTTAATTGCTGGTTCTTTTTTTTCCCTCCTTCCTGGCTTCATGTCCAATGGGTTTGCCTAAAAGGGCAAGAGCCGAGAGCACTGGGAGAGCTTCACTTCCAATCCTCTTTGTTCACTTCAAGGAATCCCTGTAAGGCCATCATCCAGCGAATGTCTGGAACCCAAAATAAATGAAGTCCAGTTTGAGTTTCAGCCCGTGGGCTCAGTAGCTTAGTAACTAATGTTGGTTCTCCCACCCTGAGTTTTAGTTTTCTCATGCAGAAAGTGGGTAGCTTATTAAATGGGGCAAGGAACTCCAATGTGCTCATTCCTAGAAGCTCGTTCATCCAATAAATAATTACTGAGTGTCTACTTGTTATCCAGGGACAGTTGACCTGGAAAGTGACTTGGTTAGTGGCGCACAGTTTCCGAAGCAAAACCAGGAATACCCTTTTCTCCTTTCAGGGGATAGAGGGCTTTCTGGTGCGATGCCCATGCTACTCTTTTCAACAGTTGCTAGGATTCGCAGCGTCTGTCCCACACATCTCCATCCCTAAAAGCGACTCAGTCCTTTTCGTCTTTGCCCTTTGCTTGCCGGGATCCACAGAGGGGACACGCAAGGCCCGGACATCACAAAAAGTCTGGGTGGTAATAGGCGCGCGCCCTAATCCCTTTGACTCTCCCTTCACAACTGCCGAACATCCCTTTCTTGAAGTTTCGTTGTTTTCTGCCGCTGATTTCGCTGCTTCCGGAATCTGGCGGCTGGAACCTTGCCACCAGTTTGGGAAGGAATCTGTCAGTTTATCAGAGCCTGATCCAGAGCCTCCTCATGCCCTTTGTGATCTGACCCATGTCTTGAGGGAGCCACATAATGCAGCCAAACCTGCATAATGATACCCCCATGCCTGATCCAATAATTCGGTGCAGGGATGAGTTCGTTGAATGCAAGGAGTCATGGCGAATGAGGGAGATCCTAGGGCTGTGAACAGGTCCCGGCATTTGGGGGTTTTACGCGGAGGGTGAAAAGTTGCTGATGAGTTACTCGGCGCACACGCTTTGGAGCAAGGGGATGGGGACACTGTGACCTACCTGTGTAGTCACAGAACTGACTTGGGTGTCGGAAACTTGTAGGGCAGGAAAACCAGGGGTGTGCAGAGGGACTCGGACACTTCCCTGGCCAAGGACCAGGAATCCCACCCAGCTACGCGTGAGGATGCGGACCACACATTCTGCAGAGCGCCGAGACCACAGGCGGCATTTCAGTCAATTTTGCCCGCCTTTGAAGGTCCGGACCTTCCCTGCTCCGGTTCTCCTCGCTCGCGGAGGATGTACCTCCCGCTTTCTGGAGGCGGCTGGGTCGTGGCCCCGAGCGCAGGAGTTTGTTTCTGGAACCCGTGGCCGGCGGAGAGTGGGAACGCGACTCGGTCAGATCAGGTCCCCCTTCCCGTTCATCCTCGGGTTGCTAGCTCCCCTTGTCTCCAGTCCCGCTGCTCCGCAGGTTCTAGGTCCTTTCCGTGCCTCCGAGGGGGCCTCAACCCCCGCCCTACACTCTGTGTTGTCTGCAGGAAGGCATTTGACGATTCTGAACCTCGGCTCCAATGTGTGAACCCTGGAGGCCAGATTCCCACGTAACCGTGTTTCAACGAAGCCGAGGGAGGGGTGGAATGAAAACGTTGCGCCCCGGGATGTCGACCCGAAATGTGGTCTCTGTGCATGGCTGGCCGCGCGGTACTCCTGAAGCACAAATAATGTAAAGCAAACCTTCCCTCTGGACTCTTGAGTCCAGAAAGTGCTTTCAGTTGGGACGCCACAAGCCCCGCTCCAGAAACAGGGGTTGGCCCCAGGCAGGACTAGAGTTGGGTGGGCAAAGCGGTTTCACCTCTTCCCTGGCGGACGGAGAACAGAGACCATAAACTGTGCTGGGCTTTTCCCCCCCCCCCCGTAGAAACCGCGTTTCCGAGGAGTGTCGGGAACCGCCTCTGCATAGGGACCGGCTGACCCGGCAAAGGCGTGCGGCACAGCCCGCGCCAGCGAACCTAGAGGATTGGGCCGGGTTCTCTTGCACCCTTTGTCAGAAAGTGGCATTGGCGATGCGGGGGTGCATGCGAGAGCGGGAGCTGACCGAACCTGCCACACTTCCCCAGTCAGAACAACCCGACACTTTCATCAACTGTCAATTGCTTGTATTTGCTAAGGCAAGATATGCTTATCGTATCTTGATAACCAGAACATTTTTGCTGGGCTGTTTTCTTCAGCCACGCACAGGTGGTTTCTGAATGCTCCTTGGCAGAAGGGTTCCAATCCTGGGAGCAGAGACACAAATCTCTTTGGTGCTCATACGCACCCCCTCTCCAGAAATGCCTGAGGTGGAAGGAGAGAACCAACCAGACATTTAAAAACCAGCAATCAATGCTAAGAGTGGTGGGACTCTGTGGGAGGGCAAGTCCACAGCCTGTAAAGGCCTAGGGGTGGGAAAGTGCTTCAGAGGGGGCCATAAAGACCTGGATGTGACCTTCCATTGTGGTTGACTGAGACCCATGCTTGGGTATGGGATGGGAAGTCTTGAAGATTAGGAAGGAGGTGGGTCTGAAGAGGATGTGGTCTGTTGAGTTTTATAAACCAAAAGCATCTTGGACCAGATCCTGAGGTAGAGTAGAGCCACTGGAGACTGTAACAGAGCAGTGACAGAATTCCATGTGTATACTGGCAAGTTTCTTGTGACTGCATGTGAAGGATGTGTTGTCAGGGCAAGACTAGAAAGTAGGAAGCCAGGGTAGAGACTGGCAGTGAGTGGTGCCCGATGGGAACTTGGTCTAGGAGGGTCCCATTGAAGGTGGAGAGGAGAAGATGGATTCCAGAGATACAGAACCTACAGTCCCTGAGGATTGGTTGGATGTGGGATTTTGACAAGAGTATGATTTAGATTTCCATGCTTGAGGGTTGCATGAGTGGTGGCACTGCTCCCTGAAACAGACTGTCCAGGCTGAGAAGGTTGAGACAGTCACAGGTAAGTCAGCTACTTAAAGAACAAACCTTCCCTGGTGCCCAGGGCCTGATTTATGGCACAGGACACACCAGACTACTGTTTCCTAGAGGGGCTTCCAGTCTGGTGATAGAGACAACTTTACCCAAAACAGAGATGGAGAGGGGAGGAAGCAGAAGTAAGGAAGGCGTAAGGGGCAAGGGAACATTTGATCTGAGCTTTTTATTTTTGTTTTTTTAATATTTAGTATTAGGATGTCACAGGCTCCAGGGTATAAGACTGGCTGGGTTCTTGGTAGACTGCAAAGTACTACATAAATGGTAACAGTCATTTTTGTAGTCACAGTTGCAGCTCAGGGCCAGGAAAATGAAAGCTTGGAGGAATTAAACATTTTGCACAGGATCACAACTCCAGTTAGTATATGTCTGTGGAGTCTTCCAAGAAACTCTGAGTTTCTGCATAGCTGGAGCTATAGGTTATTCATCTTTGGAGTCAAACTGGCTGGGGTTCCTATCCTTGTGAGCTGTGTGACCTTGTGCAATTTACTTGCAATCTCAGATCCCCATTATTCTCCCCTGCAAAATGAGGATTAATTGGGATAATCTGTAAAACACTTAAAATTTGCTAGGCACGTGGTGCTCAAAAATTTTGTTATGTTTTTCTTAACACTTAGGATGTATTTTAATGAACAAATTAATATGATATACAAAGATATGTGTGAACATCAAAGAAAATTTGGAAAACTCAGAAAAGCACCAGGAGGAAAATAAAAATCACCCACCAGCTCACCTTCTAGGTGGGACCTGGCTGTAGAAGGGTTGTGGAGAGTAAAGAGTACTAAGAGCACTACGTGAACTAAGACCCTGGGGTCAGGAGCCTGGGGCGGGGATAGAGGAGGAGAGAGAAGCCTAAGCTTTGCCATCTCTTGTCTTTGCTCCTTGTCCCACAGCCGATTTGGGACCAAGTGCGCCCGATGCGGCAGACAAATCTACGCTAGCGACTGGGTGCGGCGGGCGCGTGGCAACGCCTACCACCTGGCCTGTTTCGCCTGCTTCTCCTGTAAGCGCCAGCTGTCCACGGGTGAGGAGTTCGGCCTAGTCGAGGAGAAGGTGCTGTGCCGCATCCACTACGACACCATGATCGAGAACCTCAAGAGGGCCGCCGAGAACGGTACCCAACCCGCTCCGCCCAGCATTTCTGTCCCCAGCCCTTTCCCACCCACTCTGGCACCCCAAGTATGGCCCACATCGCTTGCTTTACCTACTGGGTAGTCTCTAGAGCACTTGGAGGCAGCTTAGGGGATGGAGCTGCGCACAGAGCATGCGCTTCAGTTCCAACATTTGTTTTGGAGTGAAGTCACTGCCAGTGCCTGCAATTGTGTTAAAAGGGGTAATGAAAGGACACCTCAAAGATAGATGATCTGATGTGTTGTAAATCGAAGGCACTCAATGAACCCTGGAGATGATTCTCATGGCGGCACTTTTGGAAAGCTCTCATTGGCCTAGGGTCTCATCCCCTCAATATTACTAGTGCCAGTCCTGGAGAGATTATGTAGCCCCCTATTCTCTCCCTACTCCCCTCTTGGCAACGAAAAGGGTGGGGGTTTCATCTTGGACCAGGGACTCTGACTGTGTTTTAAAGGGACCCCTCCCTGAGTCTGGAGCCCCTGCTCTAGCATACTGTGTAGATATATGAAGTTTCCCTTCCTCTCTGGGCCTCACTTCCTCCATCTGTGTACGATGAGTGTTGGACTAGAATGGTCTCCAAATTTGCTCTGGCTTTTTCCAAGACATATAGTCCCAGGGACAGGGTCCAGGTCTTCTAGGCATGAGGAGGATGGAGTCACAAGTGAGGTAGAGATTAGGGAAGGGGAGTGGAGGCTGGGCTGTGGCATAATTTCCTTGTCAGGGTGTGTGGATGCTACTAACTTCTCTGTATCATGGATTGTTTTATGTAATCCTTATGCTAGCTCTAGGAAGAAGGCTGGTGTATTCCCATATTATAGACTAGGAAAGAGGCAAAGATTATCTGTCTTATACTTGTTAAAGGTTACTTGTAGGTCTGACTCCAAAGTCCAGGATCTTAACTACCATACCAGAGTGCAGGACCCCTTAACCAGAACTCACAAAGCCAGGAGGCTCTGCCTCTATGACTTTCATTTTTCCTTCTGAAAAAAACAGAGGCACTAATCCTTGTCCTGCCTGCTTTCCTATGAGACATTAATATCACAGTTCCCCTGGGAAGTGGTATGGACCACCCTGCCTCAATTGTGGGCCCCATCCAGGACCACTAGTGTGTTCCTAGGTGTGGCCATGTCAAGGCTGTCCCTTTCTCCTGTCTGGATCAGGATTAAGTGGGGAGCAAGTGAACTTGGGGTGCAGTGAAGTTATCTGTAGTGCTTGGTAAGTCAGCTTTGGAGCTAAGATGGAAATCCAGGAGTTACAGATTCCTTCACACCATGGTCCCTCAGTAGTCACGGGCTCCTTCCACACCTGAACCATCCAGGACCACTCTTACTTAGTCACCACCTTGCCAATGACACTCTAGCTCTCACCATGCAGGAGAACTCATGTATTGGCTACTGTTTTGCTTTTGAAACATAATGTACCACACATACACATGTTCATCATAGAAAAATTATGGTTAAACAAAAGAGAAGAAAATAAAGATCACTCCAAATGCCACCTTCTTTCATGTTTTCCTGTTTATCTTTCCATTTTTTCTATATATGCATGTTAGTTCGTGGTTTTTCTCTTTCAGCATAGTTTTTCCCAGTTAAAAAAATTACAATAAATTTAAGCAGTGGTTATCTCTCAGTGGTGGAATTACTGGTGATTTTTTTTTCTCTTTTTCTGTGTTTATCTGAATGTTCTGGGCTTTTGTTAAAAACCTATTACTTTTGTATTCAGAAATACGAAGTTTTAAAAATAAGTTGGGAATAAATTTAGTGGTTTACAAGCAAATTGTGAAAGTACTATAAAAGTGAAAAAAGAATACCTAGCATATAGCCCAGATAACAAAATTAAACCGTAGAGAATTAAGGTGATGCAATTGTTTCAAAGACCTCAAAAGTTACAGAAGTACTGAAAGTAAAGAGTCTGCATAATCGCACTCTTTGGAGGTAAACCACTGCTAACACCTTGCTATAAATACTTCCAAACTTTGTTTTCCATTCGATTTTATAAAATTCGGGTCATGGCTCTGTAACCTGCTTGCTTCCTATCTCCACCAGTCTTCCCCTCCTCCCCTTTTTGCTAAGAGGCACAGTTTGGGGCCTTAGGGTTAGCCAGTTTTCAGATTCTAGTCAGAGGTTGGGGCAGGGTCTTTTCTTCTCTCTGAGCCTGTTTCTTCTTATGTAAAATGGGGATAATGCTACCTCTCCTTAGGACTGTGAGACCGAAGCCCTTTCCCCAAAGACTGAGCTTGGGAACTAGGACCCTGGGATCCCCGCTACCAGCAACCTCCGCTCCTGACCCTTCCAGGGACAAGCTCCCCCGACCCCCGTCCTTTCCAGGCTGCCATTAGAAGAGATGGGGACGCGTGGTCAGCCGCTTCTGTCGCCCCCAGGGAATGGCCTCACGTTGGAGGGGGCAGTGCCCTCGGAACAGGACAGTCAGCCCAAGCCGGCCAAGCGCGCGCGGACGTCCTTCACTGCCGAGCAGTTGCAGGTACCCGGGCAATCCCAGAACGATGTGGGCGTGGATGTGGGCGGTGTCTAAGAGTGGGCGGGGACTGAGAGGGCCTCAAGCTCCTCCCACCTGCCTGGACCCCGCGGGTGGCGGGGTGGGGTTGTAGCTGTCTGGGGCGTGGCCTAGGGTCCCGAGCCTCTGATTGGGCCGGGGTCTCGGCGACCTCCGCGTAGTGGAGCCTCACCGCCCTCCGGCGCCCTGCAGGTTATGCAGGCGCAGTTCGCGCAGGACAACAACCCCGACGCACAGACGCTGCAGAAGCTGGCGGACATGACGGGCCTCAGCCGCAGGGTCATCCAGGTGGGGCTCGGGTGGACGGGACCTTCAGGTCTGGGGCGGGGCCTAGGGGCCTTGGTAGCTGTGCCGAGGGTCGGGGGTGCACGTGGCCGGCCTTCTTCAGGAGGCGACAAGGCAGTTCGACTTGAGGTCCCCCTGGCTGCGCGTCCTACCCCTTCCTCCCCGAGGCTGAGACTGCTGAAGCTGTCGTTCCAGGTGTGGTTTCAAAACTGCCGGGCGCGTCATAAAAAGCATACACCGCAGCACCCAGTGCCGCCCTCAGGGGCGCCCCCGTCCCGTCTCCCCTCCGCCCTGTCAGACGACATCCACTACTCTCCGTTCAGCAGCCCCGAGCGGGCGCGCATGGTCACCCTGCACGGCTACATTGAGAGTAAGTGACCGCGACACCCGAGCTGCCGGGCCTGCGCTGCGGGGAAGAGGACGCTGAGGAGTGCGTGTGGGTGGCCCAGGTGCAAAGAGGTTTTGCGGAGCCTCGTGGGTGAAGATGTGGGCGTCGAAGTCACTCGGACCTATGGGTTGCTCCCAGGGTGTAATTTCCCCACTCTCCCTCAGTGGGACGGGACCCTTGGTAGAGGGAAGCAATTTATTATTTTTCCAAATACTTTTCCAGCACTCACTATGTGCCAGGACCCAGGGACTTGGGGAGAGAAGAAGGTGGGCAGGGTTCCTGCCTGTTCCTGTGTTCTGGTGGGCGGGGCAGCCTGCAACAGTAATGGACAGATGAGCCTGTGGCTTTCGTTGCAATGATTCCTATGGAGAAAAGGTGCCTTGTGGGAGTGTCCAGAGATGCTGGTGACAGTACTGCCTCTGCAAACTGAGACAGGAGGGATGGGGAGGATTTAGTGAGACACATGGATTGGGGGAATTGAATGTGGGCAGGACCTGGCCCACAAAACATCCTGGCATGGGTACATTTGAGGAAGCAGAAGGCCAGTGTGGGACCACTCAGGGCTGTGAAACCTTGGGCAAATCACCTAATTCCTTGAACCTCGGTTTCCTCATTTGTAAACTGGGATATTGATAATGCCTCTCAAAGGATCTTGAAAAATTATTCCTGTATCCCGTAAATATATTTTGAGTGCCTCCTGTGTTCTTAGCACTAGGATACAACAATGAAGACAAATGAGATTCCCTAGTGGGAGATGGTGAAGACACAATCCAATAGAGGAGGAAGGGCAGACATGTGGGTGGGCAGTGAGCACAGATCATGGTGAAGTGACCTTGGAGCAGGGACCTGGAGGAGTGAGGGAGCAGCCTTTGGGTTTCTGAGGGATGAATCTTCAGTGACTCTGCTAATGAACAGGTGCTTATCACAGATTCTCTTTCCCTCTAAGTTTGTTTCCTCAAAGCTGGGCATGACCAAACTAACAGAAGTAGATACAACACACACACACACACACACACACACAAACACACACAACCTCCCTTTCTCTAGCTCCAAGTATAAGGGGAAAAGAAGGGAGGTGGAAGTGCTGCTTGCAAAGTACTTGCCATGTACCAGACATTATACTGACTGTGTCTCTAAACATCACAGATCACTATCTCACTAAACATGTGGAAACCAAGGGCCCACTGTGAGTAAGTAGGAGCTAGTACTCTTCAATAATTGGATGTGGGCCTTGGTGTCAAACTGCTGGGCTTCAAATCCCACCCTTGCCATTTATTAGCTATGTAGCATTGGATAAGGTTCTTAGCTTCCCTGAATACTAGTTCCCTTATCTATAAAAGCAAGGAAAGTAAGAGTACCTATCTAAAAGCAGTGTTGTGAGCATCACATGAGATAACTTACTTAAAGTCTTCTACATTTAGTAAGTGCCCAATAAATATTAGCTGCTCTTGGGATGGTGACAGTGAGTTTGGTTGGCAGAAGTAGGAGTGCAGAGTCCTGCCTACTGTACCAGGCTGCTAGGTAGAACCACATGTCTACTGTTCCATTTCTGAACCATCTGTTCAATACCAGAGACACATTTCTAAGCAGTGACTTGTGTTCAGCCTGTATAGAACCTATTAAACACTTGTTAAACATGTAAAGGATCAAATGCTCTCTAGGTAGCAGGGGTCTGGCTACCAGCTAATACTTGGTATGGAGTTGATAATAGAGCTAGGTGATCCTGTTGGAAGCCAGGTCAAGATTCTTCACACACTCTATTGATTAAGCCTAGATATGTCTTTGATGCCTAGAGAAGGGGCTGGGATGCCTTTTCTCTTCCCCTGGAGGTGGAACCCAGCATCTGGACCTCTCTCTCTCTCTCTCTCTCTCTCTCTCTCTCTCTCTCTGTCTCTCTCTCTTTCATTTTGGGGCTTGAATTCAGGTCCTTGCACTTGCTAGGCAAACACTCTACCACTTGACCTTTTGCTTTATTTTTCAGATAGGATCTTGCTTTATGCCTCTGCCACCTGTATTGTGATCCTATTCATGCTTCCCACATAGCTGGGATGGCAGGCACACACACTACTATGCTCATCTTTTTATTGGTTGAGATAATGTCTCAAAACCTTTTTGCCTGAGCTGGCCTTTAATTGTGATCATCCTGATCTCCACCTCCAGAGTAGCTAGGGTTACAGGCTTGAACCACAGTGACTGCCTGGACCTATTTGTTACCTCTTACTGCTTGACTGAAGATTATCTGAGGAGTTTGCTTTACAGCTTAGTAAAGTCATGGTGCCTTGAATTTTCTGGAGTGTTAGAGTTGGAATCTGATGAGAGTGTTGGAACCAGATCCCACACAAAATGAACTGCTTTGCAGTTAACTAAAATCACAGGATCCTGAGTTTCCTAGAGCCTTAGAGCTTAGAATCTGATAAAAATCTTTGGAATCAGACCTCAGAAAATGGGCAGAAACACATACTTGAGTAATTCAAGGCTGTTCATGGATTCCTTGATCCCAGGGAGTCAAGAACCCCTAATTTAATATAATTGCTTTATTATACAGATAAAAGAACAATGGCTCAGAAAGGCACAGTGATTTGTCCCAAGTTACATATCAATTATAAGTTTCTGTACAGGGCTCTTTCTGTGGTCAAAGAGAACAAAGTCTAGAGAAGAGACAGGTAAAGAACTTCTCCACTAGAGTTGGTTAACAGGCTAAAGCATGAGATATTTGAATCAGACACAAAGAATTTCCTCAACAGTTTTAGATGTTGGAATAGGATATGGAACTTCATTCAATAAATATTGAAAGGGTATCTACCAGATGCCATTCCTCACTCTAGGTACTAGAAATCCACACAGATCTAGAATCTAGAAAACAAAAATTCCTGCATTTACAAAGCTTACATCCTAATTGGCAAAGACAGGTAATATCAAATAAACAATAAAAATAAACAGTAAGTCAGATGATTAGGGGTGAGGAAGAAAAAGTAGGCTGGAAGGTGGATAGGGAGGGGAAGGATGGCTGTTGGTGTTGGGTTGCAGTTGTAAATAGGGTGGTGATATGCAAGAGCAGGGTCTTCTAGGAAGCACCCAGCAAATCGTCTTTGGTGACACCTGGGAGATCAGATGAACAGGTGAGGATCTGAACAGACAGGGCACAGCCTTGCTTGTAAGTTTTCAGGACATATGCATGTAGTAGTACTTGTTTATCAGTGAGCTGGACAGTTATACCTAGTAATCACAGCACTTTATAAAGCATTTCACATACAACATTGAACCAATTCAACTGAAATCTTTCCCAGGTTACCCAAGTGGTAAGTGGCAAAAGTGGAACTGGTCTCAGGGATCCAGCTTACAGAGCTTGGGGCAGGTGGGATCTTGTGTGGAGCCTGGGGATAGACTCCAAGGCATCCTCTCATCCACAGGTCAGGTACAGTGTGGGCAGGTGCACTGCCGACTGCCTTACACCGCGCCCCCTGTCCACCTCAAAGCCGATATGGACGGGCCACTCTCCAGCCGGGGTGAGAAGGTAAATGGAATCTGGTTGGGTCTGATGGGTCTGAGCTTTCTTTCTGGGGATGAGTTTCTGGCAGCATTCCCTATTGTTGAGTGGGCACCATACCACTCTTAGCAGACTGCTTAGGTTCCCACTGCACCCTCAAGGCAGTCACCTGACTAGCCACTCGTGTATCCCATGTGCATATTACTCTAAAGTCCTCCTTATAGCTCCTTCCTTTCCTGCAGTGTGGCCATTTTTTTTCTTTTTTTCAGATTTGTGAATTTACTCAAGATTTGAGGTTTTAGGAAGTGTTTCTGTCACACAACAGCCTGCATCCCATTATCTCACTGGCTCCTCTTCCTCCGTTTCATTCCTGTCTGTTGGGTGTGAATATCCTTGTGGGGCCCAAGGATAGTGGACCAGCATGTGATGGTGGTCAACTGGCAGGGCCTCCTCTGTGGACCCAGGTCTCTGGAACTAGTACTGATATCCTGAGGGTGCTTAGATATTACCCAGCCCAATGGCTTGAAGGCTTTGTAAGCACTGGTTGTTTAATCTTGTCCATACACAGGTGAAAGTTGAGGGAGCAGCTTTGCATGAAACTCTGGAGAGGGGTGGTGTACCTCCCCCTCAGCTCCCAGGTCTTATAAGCCATTACTCTAGGTCCAGGTAGCTAAGGGGCCTAACCTGGATGAGAACCTGTGCATTTATTCATTCACTTATGCATTTATTTAGACAGGAGCACAGAGCTAAGGAAAGCAGAGTCCCTGCCCTTAAGGAGTCCACAGTCTGGATGGGGAAACAGACCTCTAATGCTTTTAACATAATGGTGTGTGTTAACACAGTGAAGGGGGAAGCATGGGATATGGGGCGAGGTGGGAGCAAAGGAAAGATGTAGGGTGTAGAGAAGACTTCTCAGAGAAAGGCAGCCCAGGCCTAGGCCTGAAAGCTCAATAAAGGCTTTATTAGAGAAGTCATCCTGCTTTTAAAGAACTTTGAGCCATTCAATGTCACAGGCACATAGGTATGGGAGGCAAAAGGGTGAGGAACAGGGCCCTAGGGTTGCCAAGTTGAAGAATTGGACTTTATCACTGTGGTGGTCCTCAAAGAGGCTGAGAGGGAGGATGTGTGTGGGAAACTGGGAGCTAGTGGACACAATGGTCCAGGGAGAGAGGATTAGCACTTTAGAGCTGGAAGGACCCTCCATGGCACTCTTATCTAGCATGTCCCAGTTTTGGTGTGCCTCAGAATTACCTAGGCAGTTTGGAAAGGTATAGATTCTCAAGCCAGAGACTGATGGGGAGGTCTGGAGTGGGGTGCCCATCCCCATGTAATGCCCAGGAGTAAAGAATACTCCTGCAGGTTATTTCCTCTGCCTCTGTCTCCTGGCTAAGCACCTACTGTGTGCTGGGCTCTGTCTGTGGTGGGTACCACAGGGAATGTGTATAGCATGGAGGTTTGGACAGCCTACATTTTCAAGTAAACGGTAGGTTCAGTACAAGAATTTAGTGATGGGTGAGCACACACCAGGAAGGTCTCCTCTGAGGCTGTCACATTCACAATATCAACTTCTGTTTTTTGGTCTTCTCTTCTGTTCAAGGTAGGCACTTTACACACATTATCTGCTTGACTCCCACCCACCTTTGGATGTGGAGATGGTCTGGATGTAAAGATAAAGAAAATGAGGCTCAAAGAGATGACATGGTTTGTCCATAGCTGTGGCAAGTCTGTTGGACTCTGAAGTCTGCAGTTCAGTAATTTCTTCCTTTTGGGTAGCACTTTACAGTTTACACAGTGCTCTGCGACCTCATCCTTCACAGCCTCTCTGAGAGGATGATTACAATGATCTCCATTTCGTGCCTGTAGAAACCAAGGCTCAAACAGAGCAATAACTCATTCAGGGTCACACTGTACATGAGCAGAGCTGACCTTGATCCTGAACTACTTGTCTTGGAGTTGCTCCTTTCCTGTGGGGGAACATTCGTCCTGTTAGACCGGGCTCTGGGGCTGCAGAAGGGAGCTGACCTGAACTCTGCCTTCAAGGAGCTTGTGGCTTTGAGCAGGATGTGGGCAGTTGAGCTGCAGGATGATTGGGCAGTTGGAGTAGGGAACTACCCTAACCTTCAAGGACCCCAAAGAGGGAGTGACAAACTCTAGGGGAGATGCAGGGGATGAGAAAGGCCTTCCATGTCAAGAGTGCAGCAAGTGCAAATACACAAAAGCACAAAGGAGCCTGAGTTTTAGGGGACAACTGGATGTTCAGTGTGGCTGAGGCCCAGGGAAGTGTGAGGGGCTGAGAGGGTGGGGGAGAGGAGCTACACATAATGAGTTTGGTTCTTGGAGTGAGGAGCTTGGGCACTGCATGCAGGGAAGGGGTGGGTCTTGGAAGTGTGTAGGGCTGGGCTCAGTGCTTGGAGAGAAGCCCTTGTCTCCTGGTGGCTCAGCTAAGCTTGTGGTTATGTCTGAAAGATGAGCCAGGCTGGGTGCTGGCAGCTTTGATTCTAGGTTTCTGGCCCTTGGGTTTGTCTGCTGAGCCAGAATTCTCTGTTGCTGGCCTGTGTCCCCAGCTTTGTATCCAGAAGCTCTGTATTAAAGTGGGTCTCTCTCCTCCATGACCTATTGCCCTCTTACAGTCTGTCTTTCTCACCTGCTCCAGGGACCTTTCCCATCTACATCTGATCAAATCCATGGGGCCTGATGAATTACATAGTGTGGGCTGGGTAGGATGGTATGGGTTTTCTCCCAAGTTCCTCTGGACTGAGCCAGCCTATCTGTGAGGAGACTCAGTGACCCCTGGGGTTGTCCCTGAAGCCACACATCTAGACCAGTGCTGGCCTGGCTAGGAGAGCAAGGCCCTGGACATTCTTAGGGGCAGCTTCCTGTCTCCAGGGCATCATCATTTGGCCACACATGCCTGCAAGTTTCCAGAACTATATCTCTTCCTGGTCGTGTATCCTGATCTCACAACTTCAGCCTTTGGAAGTTTCTTAAAAGTCAGAATCACCCTGCTGCTGGTCAGATGGAGAGACTAAGGTCCACAGAAGGGAAGATCTGACCAGAGTCAATTCTTTGAAATGAGCTTCTCTTAATAAGGGTTAATAAGGGTCTAAAGCAAGATGTCCTGCAAGCCAAAGGGAAGCAGTGCCCAGGATGGGGTGAGGAATGCAGCAAGGGCTCTGAAGCCAGGCGATCATGAGTCCCAGAACTACCACTTCCCTTGAGAGCTTGGAGTACAGTTAGCTTCTTGGAATTTTAGTCTTGTATCTGCAAAATGGGGATGATAATAGCTCCCATCACATGGCGTTGCTGTGGAGATTAAATGCAATGACACATAAAGAGCCTAGCACCATGCCTGCTACACAGAAAGTGCTCTGTAGGTCAACACAGAGCACTTTCATTGTGATAGTTTCCTCTTATCCCTGGGTGTTATGTTTCAAGATCACTAGTGGATGCCTGAAACTATGGTTAGTACAGAGCCCTATGTAAGGCTATATTTTTTCCTACACATACATATCTGAGGTAAAGGTTAATTTATAAATTAGACTTAAGCGATGAACAATAATAACTAACGATAAAATAGAACAATCGTAACAATATACTATAATAACTTATATGAATGTGGTCTCTCTTTTGAAAGAGTCAAGACAAATATTAATATTTTTGAACTGTAGTTGACCACAGATAACCAAAAACCACAGATTTGGGAAGGCACTACTGTGCTACTGTGGAGATCATCATCATTGCTTTCCTCCTCTAACTCCTTGTGGTATCTGATTCTGGGCAAGAAACATTCCTAATCAAAAAAACATTTATCAGCCATGTGGCCATTCCCACTGGATGTCCCTGGATCACTTGAAGTCTCCTCTACATTTTACTGTGAAAAGGAGCATCCCACTGACCAGCCGAACTGGTTGGGTGGGTCAGTGAGGTATCAGCCCGGTGCTTTAGGTGGAGAAGGAGAGGGAAAAGGAAAGGAGCAGAGGGTCTGCCCACCCACTCAGCTGGCCCACCTCTTCCTGCCTATGTGATCATGGGCTTACCAACAGTCACCTCTGTGACCTTCAGTGCCCTTTCTGTGAAACAGGGATCTTGGTGGGATTTCCTCCTGGCGAGTGTAGGGTAAAGAGCTCACTAGACATTTGCTGCTATTACTGCATCTTGTTGAATCCTTCTTGCTCTGAGAGAACTTCTCATCCCTGATTACCTTCCCTCAGAGAGGGGAAGTGAGTTTCCCAAGGTCCTGCAGCAAGAAAGCTGAGAACTAGAATTTAAACCCAGGTCTAGGCTCTGAGCCCATCCTCATGTTCAGTATCTTTGAGGTCCCCCGGGGCTGCAGAGGGTCGGGAGAGGGGAGGAGGACAGGCCCTCACTCAGCCACTTTCCATGCCCTCCTCTTTCAGGTCATCCTTTTTCAGTACTAACACTACCGGCACTTGCGCATCTGTCCACGGACATCCCACATCCCTCAGCTGCTGAGAACCAGTGTCGAGCTGCAGCCAGGGATCCACTGCCTCCACATCCACCCCCACCAGCCATCCTGCCCTCAGCCAGCTCGGCCTCCCAGGCCTGGTCTTTTCCTCTCCTGCTGAGAACCAGAACCCACCAGGAGCATCACAGAGTCCTCCTCTTGGAAGGCAATGTGAAAACTGGGTGAAAACAACAAGCCTGTTTTTACCATTCAAACAAGAGTTATCTTCAACTTCAGCCTATTACAATAGCAAAAGGCAAATTGAATCGTGAGATGCCAACAGCCTCCTAATTTACAGGTTTTCTTCCCCTCATATTGGCCTTTATTTACTACTTCCTTGGAACCATCCCTGAATTACAAATAGCCAACAACCCCCAGTGTTATCCACTCTGTTGCTTTTGTCTGGAAAACTCTACAGTGTTTGTGGGATATTCCCAAAGGAAAGCTGTGTTCTAATTTTATCATTTCCATCTGTCTGGTTATGTCAAGTTAATTCAGAAAGAGAAGAGACACTGACCAACCCTGAGAGGCCCAATAGGGCAGAGATGGAGTCCTGCCCAGACCAAGAGGCAGAGGGACAGACAGGGATGGGCACAAAGACCCCACTGGTTTGGAGACTGAGGAGAGGGATGTGACACACTGGACTGGGAGAGGTGCTGTTTCATAGAAAGAGAAAAGTTGGGTGTGGGCTCTTCTCCCACTGAATTATCTAGCATATATGCAGGAACCATGGCAGAGATGGCATTTGATCTGTGTGATGTCACTGCTGAATGTTTGGGCAGGCTGGAGTTGGGGGCCATTACTGGCTACTTGTTCATTCCTGATGGGGGTACCTAGACCAGTGTTCTGGGGTGGAGGGGAGACTACCCATGGAGGGCCAGGGAATAGAGCCCAGTGAAATGACAGCTAGAATATTCATTCTGATCCATCTGAGTAGAGAACACTGCCCATGGTCTAGGTGAGTGTGCCAGGCCCAGGATTCCAACTGGCACCTTTGTGCTTTCTCATCAACCTTGCCCAGAGCCAGCCCCACCTACTCGTGAGAACAGAGGCTAGACACAGCTGTGCTCATATCCACCCCAGCCTGCTGCAGCTCTCCCACCCCAAACAAAGGGCTTGGACTGTACAAGACCATGATTTATATTTTCAGGGGAGGCCCATTTGTCCCAAGCTTATCCTGTAATTCTAGAACTACTTGGTGACCTGATGCATTTTCCATTAGAGCTGCTAGAAAGCATATTTTAGACTATTTCCTCCTTCCTGCTTTTGGAAGGAGACTCTAGGACAGGGAAAGCAAGTTCATAACATATATGTAGCAGCCATCCCTGGTTTCACCTATGGCAGACACTGCTAATCAATTGCATCACTCTATCTCACTAAGTCTGGATAAAGTTTCAGATTTCATATTTTGGAAGTTGGCACTTAAATGAGAATCTCTCTGCTATTTGCTCTGGGACCTAGAGGAGGGTAAGACATGGGTGTGGCCTAAGAAGTGAACCTGTGTCCTCTCCCTTCCAAAGATCTCACAGCGGACTAAGGACAAAGAAAAGGCACCACTTAGAATGTAGTGAGTGCAGTTCAGTTCAGAACTCATCCAGTGTCCTGTGCTGGGCCCTGATATTATCACAAGTAACCAGGGCCTGATCCCTGGCCTTGGGATGCTCAAACCTTTCCTTAGAGTTTTGCTCCTAGTGATCAAAGCCCTGACTGCAACCATGTGGTAAGTGCATGGATGAGCCCTGGCCAGGGTCATTCAGTACCCACTCTGCCTTGAGCCTTCTCCTAGGGTCTGTTCCTTGCGTGGGTCACATGGCCGTAGCATGTTGCAGTTCGAATGTCTCCACTACCCTGTTAAGAGCAGCCTGGGAATGTACAGGCCATCAAGACTATTTATTTAAATACAAACAAAAGGGGAAAACACACACATGGAAAAAAATGTAAGCACTTTTTTTGTAAAACCAATGTCTGTTTTGTTACATACCTTTCATGTCGTGCTTTGTAAATGTCTTATTTGTGTAATAAATAAAGTTAATGCAGGTAGAAGTGCTGGCACTTAAATCCAGAACATGGTGGAATTCCATTTCTTTCCTGCTCTCTGGTTAGGGGATTGGGTCCCTGGCTCCCAGAATGTCTGGGCTGCTGGATAATGCAATTCTGGAAAGTGGTACCATTTCCCAGTTAGTAAACCATGCATTGCAAAAGCATGATGACAGGTTTCTTCCCTAAGTACTGCATCACCCCTGTGTCTTAGCTAAGCTTTGTAGGAAATCAGACTGGTTGCTGTCCTCTTCTCCCTGAACACCAGCTCTCTGCTGGGCCTTATGCTGTCGCAGACTGGCCCTGCCTTAGAGAAGCTATCAGTCTGGTCAGTTCCTCCAGCAAGCTGTGGGGCTAAGGGTAGCATTTGAGCTGGATCTTGTTAAATGAGAAGTTCACAGACTAGGTAGGAAAGAGGAGGGTATTTGTGGGCAGGCAGGGAAGGAGGTACGCAGAGGCCTGTTTTAGCTGATGGGGAGGAGTCAAATACATGGAATGGGAGACAGGGCTCTAGCTTCTGCACAAGACTGGCTCTTATAGTGGCTTTGTCACATTCCAGGGCTACCATGTACTCTGGGGAATGAAAAAAAAATGTGTCTTTCTGGTGTTTGTCTAACCTTTGTTCATCTGCAGAATCATTGTGGAGAGGAGAGCTGCCCTGTAGCGTGCAGAGGGTTCCCAGCCCGCCTGTGGTCCTGGATATGTTGCTTGTAAACCTTGGCTCACAGTGCATGTGGTCATCGACCCTAGGGCCTCCCATTTTATTAGTTTTTATCCCCCTATTCCTAACTCCATTTCTGCTCCTTTCCCCTCTACTCTTCCATTTCCCAAGTGTTGATTTAGATATATGTATTATCATTGAAAATAGTTTAGTTGTGTGTGTTTCTTCACATTAATGTACCTTCTGTTTTCAAAACACAGTTTGGGAACCACTGGTGGAATTCAACCTTATTTACTGAGAGGACTGGACCCTCAATGGGGAAGAGGCAATTCCCGCAGGTTTCCTCCATAGTACAGCTAAGAATGGGCACAGGTCTCACTTTGACTGCTGGTTCTCTCACATGACAGCTCTGAGTCCCTAGTTTGAGGTTCAGTTTCCTTCCCCTGCAGACATCAGCAGAGTCCTCCCAAGCCTGACTCATGCTCCTATCTCCACCAGGCAGCTCTAGTGAGTCAGGGGACACAGCTGGCAGCCTGCAGGATAAAGCAGCCTCCATGGAGAGACAGTTACACAAAAATCCAGGATGCTTGGGGCCCAGGTGTGGCCCTGGAACATGTTACCAATTCCTGAGTTTTAACCAACAAATGTTATCTCTCGGGTGATTTTGATGGATGATTACATGCACAACTAACAAATTGATCTTTTTTTTTTTTTTTTTTTTTTTTGGGACAGGGTCTGTCTATGTAACCCAGGCTGGCCTTACACTCTCGATCTTTCTGCATCAGCCTCTTAACTGCTGGGATTACAGATGTGTACCACGATGCCCAGTACAAACTGATCTTTAAGGCAAACACATATCTAGGTCCTGCTAAGCCACAGCTTCTTGTACTGTCTCATTCAATCCACTCAGCTACTCTCTTTCAAACATATTATAACCATTTTATAGATGAGGAAACTGAGGCTTAGAGAAGTGAGTTGCCCAAGGTTACATGGTATCTGTGGCTGGGATTTGAACCCTGACATGGATGATGCCAAAATAATATTCTTTCTGTGACACCACACTGATTCTGTGCCTACCATATGAGGCTCAAACAGTACAGCTGTCCAGAAAAGGGAAAGGTTGTCCTCAGGAGTCATTTTCAGGTCTTCGGGAAGGTACCACCTATGAACTGGGTACAGAGATCAGATCCTACTGCCCTCTGAGACCAAGTGAGTCACCAAGCGAGTTGCTGTCTCTCTCTGAATCTCAAGATTCCCCACCTGCAAAAGGCAATGCTTAGCCCTCCCTTGCAGAGAAAATGCACACACAGTGCTCCTGCCTGTAGTTGCTTATTCAATGAGGCATATCTATTATTATAAAACAGTGGTTCTTAAACTTTCATATGCATAAGAAATACCTGGGAATGCTAGGCCTCATTCCCAGGGATTCTGGGCTGAGGGCTGGGAATAGCTATGGTTGATGATTTTGCCCAGGTGACTCTGATGCAGGTAAAATGAAGACACCTTCTGAGAAACAGTATTTAAGGCAAACACACTTGACGCCACTGAGTGCAGAAAGCTTTTATTCCAAAGTCAAAATTGAGGCCCTAGAACTACAGCTTGTCAGTGCCAGCAGGGCAGATGGAGTTGGCTTCAGTGTTCACAGCTTGGGCCTGTGACCCACGATCTCATCCCAGCCCTTCCGGCAGGTACAGATGATCCACTTGTGCTCATCATCATCTGTAAGGAAAGAGGAAGAAGCAGCTATGCCTGTGTTCACTGGGACCTTCTCTTACCTGGAGTCTTGAGGCTGGAATGCATTACAGCACAAGCCATTGGCTTGCAATTGGCCCATGTCTACCTCAGAGTGGGCAGGAGCAAACCTTTTATTTAAATTGAATCCCTCAGCACAGTGCCTGGTCTTGGGAAAACTGAAAACAAAAGGATTTAATTTGTTGATGCTGCTGATGGAGGCATCTGGAGGTTATTGCGCCACTTTAAGCTCATCTGATCCTGACAGGCAGTCAGAGTGGCAGCCTTACACTTGGGCACTCACCTGGGCTGACATAACACAAATGGCACCCGCAGTGCAGTGGGGCCAGGCCTTGGCTGTAGTGCTATGAGAGCCTCAGATATCACTTCCCACTCTCTATTCGTGACCCTTCAAAGAATATGTGGTTTCCCAGGGGGCCGACACCCTCTGCTGACTCAGGTGCCTTTGTGGGGAAGGCAGAGGAAGAGCATAATTCCCCTCCAGGCCCTGAATGCAGTCATCTCCCTGGGCTGGGTTGTTCCTTGTGGCCTCCCAACAGGCAAGATGCCTCAACAGGCACTACACAGATGAACAAATGGAGCGGGGTGGGGGGTGGGGGGGGAGTCTACAGCCTCAGGGTTAGTATGTGGGAGAGCCCAAGATCTGAGCCTAGGGTTGTCTTAACTACAAAGCCTGTGCTGCATTTCAAAACCTCAAATACAGAATTGAGTGAGTCATAATCTTCAGTCCATAGTACACTCTCATCCTCTCTATGCAGAACCCCTGTGGACTTACTTTTATTTTCCCCCTTTCTCCTCTAAACCCACATCCAGCCCCTCCCCCTCCACGATAGGGACCCACTCTAATGGTGAGATACATATCCCTAAAAATGCACGAAGCACTAGAAAATATGTACTCTTGTGTGCGAATGTGTTTTTAATTTACAAAAATGGCATTGTGCTGCGAACTTCATTGTGTCATACTTCTTTGACTTGACTGTTTCAGGATTCAATCTTGTTGCTACATGTACATAATAGTTCTTTGCTTCTTACTGCTGCCTCATGTTCCATAGTTGGCTCCTCTCAGATTTTACTCTCCATCCTCTCAGTGCTGGTCACCTTCTACTGGAAACCTCCCTGGGGGCTCTGGGGCCCATGACTTCCTGGATACATATGTGGAAGAATTTCTCTTTCTATTTTGGGAGGAGGGTCACCAATCTTGCACTGACCACACTTCCAGCTGAGTCTACGCTCTTTTGCCCCCCACTGCATGCTTGCCTGCCTCCCCTCCGTCATCCTTCCCTTCTCTCTGCAAATGCTTGCTTTCAGGCATTCTCCTTTGGGCCACACACTGGAGGAGTTCTGGTCTTCCCTCCTTACCTGGTGCCCAACCCTCTGCCCAAGAAGTGGGAGGATGGGACTTTCTATCTTCTTTGGGTGACAAATCATGGAAGCTGGGGAACAAGGGAACTCCCTGAGAGCTGAAATGCAGAGGGCCAGCAAAAGCCTGCCCTTCACCAAATCAGACCCCCCTGAGGGAGGCCTTCCTCTTCTGTGAAAAGGACCAGGTCAAGGTCTGGAAGACAGAGGCTCATGGACAGCCTACTGTGTGCTTTACCAGCACTGGACCAGCAGGGGAAGAGGAGATACACCCATTTTATAGAAAAAACAGCCTTGTCCTAGGCCCACAGCCTGTGGAATTTGAGCCAAGATTCATCAGGCCCTGGCAGCATGACTTCTCAACCCAGGGAGGACTTGATGGTGCAATGTTGTTTGTCCCCACAAAGCCAAACAGCCCATCCTGCATTTCCTTACATACAACTCAAAGATACTGGCCAGCACACTCTGGCCTTGGGGAACTGCCCAAAGCAGCCAGTGGGCCTCAGTTTCCCCTGGGCAGGCTGTCTGGAAGTCCTGGCTGAGGCTGGCAACCCAGGGGTGGGGAGAGCAGCCGTGATGTGTCAGCACACAAGGAGTTAAGCGCTGGTGGAGCCCACTTTTGCCATACTGTGAGCAGCCTGGTTGATAATTACAGTTCTGAAGTCTCCAGGCTATTCGAATCAGTGCAGCTGCAGCCTCTTCAGCATAACCCCTGAAACCAGACAAACTGGGTGTATTGTGCTGAACCAGTCCTCAGGCTCCTCCCTGATCGTTACAAATTGACAGCAATGGACTTAACAGCCCTCTTCACTACCCCTTTCACTCTCTACCTGGCTGCACAGCCACCAATTTGAATCACAGATGCCTCCCCTCCCAGCAGCTGCTCACCCACCCTCCCTCCACCTCTTCGATGCCTCTGAGGCTCCCTGGCCCTGCCACGCCAGGGTGAGGCTACCGAAGCACATTTCATCAATATTTAAGATGGAATTAAACCTGTAGCTTTGATTAATGCCTCCCAGAGCCCGGGAGTTGTGATTACTATTTTGCAAATTGTGATTGTTGGAATATGTTAATATGATTGTCTGAGAACATCTTCACCTTCTCAGATAATTTTCCTCCTTTTTGGCAGAAGAGGAGGGGGAGAGGAGAAAGAAAAAAGATAGGGAAAAACATCCCACAAACTCTTTAATCAATTGTAAATTATTACCCTTGGCACAATTGCTGGTGGTGCAAAGAGAAGAGGAGGAAGATTTCTGGTTTGGTGCATTTATTTAAAAGTTTTTGGTCTCCTTTGGCCTGTTAATTCCACTCTGGGACACTATCCTAAGGGAATAATCTGTCTTGGAACTATTTAGAATCAAGAGAATGGAAAATAATATACATTTGCAGAGGAGGGAATGATTACTTTGTTGTCATTTAACAAATAATTTCTAAATACACACTACATGCCAGAAACTGTGCTAGCTTGGGAGGGGGCCAGGGGACCCTTACCATACGCCATGTGAAGGAATATTTAGTAGCTACTGAAAATGATAGTTAGGAAGTCTGTATGATAACATAGGGAAAATGTTTTTGTTGAGATAATAAACCAAAAAATATGAGAAGAGGCAAGAAACATAATTCCATAGACAGTATATTCCATTAAAGATTGTGCACAAAAGAAAAGTTAAAGATAATAAATTGAAGTGTGAATGTGATCAGCTCTGAGCAGTGGGACTAGAGGCTCTTCTTTCTGCTTTGGTATTTCCCAAATCTTTCGTTAATGTGTATGGACAATAAAAAAAAGTTTTAAATAATTACTGGCTCTTTTCCTACCCTCCAATTTAATGTCTTGGTAATTTTATGTGTCTTGATAATTGAGATAAATAAAAGAGTTCTAGGCTGCTAGAAATAGTAATAGGTTTTTGTACTTCTAAAAAAGTAAAAATCCTAGCATAAAATATTGGTAAGATGTATAAATATCAGAATAGGCAAGTTTCCTGTGTAGAACTCCAAACAATTTATGCAGATATTCTGCCCTCCACAACCCCAGCCTAATCATGAGAAAAACAGACAAATTCCGATCAAAGGACAGTCTACAAAATACCTGACTAGTACTCCTCAAACCTGTCATGGAAAAATTTCTGAGCAGCAGTCACACCTAATAGGAGCCGAAGAAGACATAACTAAATGTAATGTGATATGCTGGATGGGATCCTGGAAAACAAAATGGACAGTAGGGAAAGACTGTGGAGGTATGGAGAAACTATGGGCTTTAGTTAATCAGTATTAATTTGTTAGTTGTGGCATGTATGCCCTACAATATAAGATGCAAATAGTAGTGGAAACTGGGTGTGGGGTATATGGAGAAAGCTGAACTATCTTCATACTAACTATGTAACTTTAACTACTCTAAAATAAAAAGGTTATTTTAAAAATGCTTGAAAATCCAGTGTGCTCCCTAAGGGATTTCCCAAGAGAAGTGGAAGTCCCTTCTTACTGCCAACCATACAAACTGAAGCTGTTCACTCCTTTCCTCACTCATGGCCCTTAGAGCACAATTTTTGAGTCATCTCTTCTCCTTCTTCTTTCTTTTTGTCTTTTCCTTTTTCTTCTTCCTTTTCCCCTTCTCTTCTCCTTCCTCCTCCATCCCCTCTTCTTCCTCCTCTTCCTCTTCCTTCTCCTCCTCTCTTCTTCCTTCTTCTTTCTTTCTTTCTTCTTCTTCTTCTTCTTCTTCTTCTTCTTCTTCTTCTTCTTCTTCTTCTTCTTCTTCTTCTTCTTCTTCTTCCTTCTTCTCCTCCTCCTCCTCCTCTTCTTCCTTCTTCTTCTTCTTCCTTCTTCTTTCTTCTTCTTCTTCCTTCTTCTTCTTCTTCTTCTTCTTCTTCTTCTTCTTCTTCTTCTTCTTCTTCTTCTTCTTCTTCTTCTTCTTCTTCTTCTTCTTCCTCCTCCTCCTCCTCCTCCTCTTCTTCTTCTTCTTCTTTCTTCTTTCTTCTTTTTCTTCCACTGGTGATTGAACCCTTGGCTTCCCACATGCTAAGAAAGCACTCTGCAGGCCTGAGTCTTTCTTAAATAATGTTTTCCTCTCCCATTCAACTGTAAACTCTCAATTTGGGGATCATGTCTGCTTTGCTCTGCCAGATGAATCTGAATAAGCTTTTTCATTCTGACTCTGCTCAGTTGCCATCAATAAACATTTCCTAAGTTGTGCCCACTTCTTGGCGTTCAGGTCTCAACTCAAATGTCACCTTCTTGTGACCCCTCCATCTGACCACTTCCACTTGCAGTCACTCTATCTTGTGTTTTCTTCATAGCATACACCACTCTCTGCAGTCTTCTTGTTTATATACACATTTGTCTCCCCTATCTAGATTGTAAGCTCTAATGACATTGGGAGCCTTGTCTGCTTGTTCTCTGTGGTGTCCCCACTGCTTAGAGAACTCTCTGGCATATAGTAGGTTGAATGAGGAAGTGAATCAACAAGAAGACCAATCTGGTCACTCTTCAATGTTAGGTATATTTGTTGCTATGGGACAGAAAGATGTCTTTCTTCTGGTTCTGAAGCTTTGGAAATGACTTTGCCACCACCCATATGCCTTGGCCCCCACAGATTATTAGGAAAACGGGACTTC